TACCCCAATTTTTGGCTATGTTTAAATTTCATATTTTGAGTCCTCATTGGGTAACAAATCTTTGTACCAAACATGAACAACATCGATTCATGGCATGATCAGCATAATAGTACCTCTAATTTTCGGTATTATAATTAATTTATATAATTAGATTTAGGACATTTAAAATGTTTAATATCTAAACTAAATGCATACCGACGCCTACGAACCATAGTATGATAAGTCGACTTAGCATGTTTTACTATGTTTTTAGATACTACGGTCCTTAATTTAAATTCTCTGAAATTTTGGTAATCATCGGCCAATCCAAACCAAAGTTATAAGCAAAAATGTACTTAGAATGGCACGTAAGATTTAAGAAACTTCTATACTTTGAGAGCTTCTGCTTAAAAACTCACTTTTCAGACTAAGCATACTATTCTTCGGAGGCGTCGATATATCAATCTCAGTATATCGACCCATTATATCAAATTTCGCCAAATCAAAGGTCTATGTAGAATATAAAGATAAATCGCTTAATAAAACCAGCAAGGAAAGTAGTAAAGTCGGGCGGGGCCGACTTTACCTCACCTCTTTGGGTATATATTTAAGAGATGCATCCTAACAGACATCACATTTTTTGAAGGATAAATAAGATGAAATTGTATGAATTAAAATATGTGATCTTTATCTAAAAGTGACCCGACTTAGAACAACCCATAAACATGCCAAACTGCAGCCTATAATAAACTTTTCATTTGGACAGATATATAGTCGTTTGCTACATTGGGACATAATTATGTAAATCTATTTAAAACAAATATCAATGGGACACCCGTAAATATTTTGGAACCCAATTAACCCAAAGTCGGTCGAAAATTCATAGGAGAACGGAGTTACACCATTCTATAATCAATGTTGTACGTTATGCATAATTTAATGTTAATCAGAGACAAATGAGGAGTTTAGTCCGATTTCAACGAAATTTTACAGAAGTTGGGCTTCTGCACATATATGGGAGCTATATCTAAATATGAACCATTTCCAACAAAACTTGACATACGTTAGGCTATACTAATTTCAGTACGTGGTGCAAAATGTTGTGGCAAACGGCCAAACATTGGGCCTTTGGTGCACATTTTACTTAAAATCGGACGGAACTATATATGAGAGCTATATTTAATCTGAACCAAAAACTTCACGAAACTTAGCACACAACATTCTCGACTCAACTCAGTACGCTATGCAAAATTTCGTGCAAATCGAGGGATATATAAGGTCTTTGGTTCACCATTTACATTAAATCGGACGAAAATATATATGTGGGACCTGAATCGATTTGGTCGAAACTTAACACACGCCATTCTAGACTCAATTCAGTACGCTATTTCAAATTTCGTGCAAATCTAAATATATAGGGACTTTGGTACATAATTTACATTAAATTTAAATTTCAATAATGTTCGTCCTTGGGTCAAATAAATGAGATGTGCAAAATTTCATCCAATTCGGATCATAAATGCGACATGTACTTTGTTTGCAATTTAACACAACAGACGGACGGACATGCATAAATCGACTTAGAAAGTGATTCTATGCATATTCTCAAAAGGAACCATGTGTCTATCTCGATTCCTTTTGCCTGTTACAAACATATGCACAAAGACATAATATCCTGGACCTGGACATATGCACAAAGACATAATACCCTGGTCAGCTAAGTACTTCGCTTAGTTACAAGAGACATTTGGGTATGAACGGTTTTTTGTATAGAAGCATTAGCTTCTGGGGAGAATATCCCAACAAAAAAACTAAGGGAACTGATGAGGATCAGTGGCGTGATCCGAAACTATAGTCTTTCCTGCCTTACCCCTCGGCAAACAATGCCATACATTCCCCACTAATAAATAGTTGTTTTTTTATAAAAACAACAAACTGGGATTCAGCCTGACTATTTGGCAAAAACAAAATACAAATGGTATCCCAAATAAACCGCCAACACTACTGAAGTTTCAATTTTACATAAAATAAAATTACCATAATTTCACCCAAGACCATCGAAGTGATGGTAGTCTCGGTTGGAAAAATCTTATTGGGGAATGAAAGAATTTGGTGAGTATATGAAAACCCCAAACAGAAGATTTCGTGCATTTTTCTGAATTTTATGTGTGTGTTTTTAACTTTTATATTGATTTGATCGATTTAAGGGAACCCCACCCATTCTCGATTTTAATTTTTCAAGATTTTCAATGGGCTGGTTAATCAATACCAATGCTTGTTAAGGTTTGTAACCGTGCATATATATATATATATATATATATTTGAAGATTTAAAAGAGAAAAAAATAATTTACAAAAAATTTTTGTTATTGTTTTTTGTAATTAAAGAAGAGTCCTTAATTTTGATGGCGGGCATGATAAGTCCTCACTGGAACATCGGAATCCAAAAATTCCAACGGTGTCAGAAAGAGTACATGTCTGGCTCTCGTATGAACTATTGACTTCGCTCTAAAATTAACAAAATGGCGGACCTTTGAAAAAATATTTTTGGAAAATCGCCGATTTTTGACCAAAACCCAAGTTAAAAAATAAGGAAGATCTCCACCGATTGGCTTTATCCTAGTTCATACGATAGCTATACACTCACAGAGAAACGTGTAAAAATTTGGAATCGATTGAGTTATTCGTTTTTGAGGTATCGTGCCCGCCATTCGCAAAATAGAAAAAGGCGTTTAAAGTTTGAGAAGCCCTTTAGCCGTCACTTGATGTTGACGCAATAAATCGGCTATATTTTCAAGAGTCCTTGAGATTTTCATTTGAAATTTTGTTAGGGCATTCTTGAATTAGTGTAGATTCGAATTAAATCAAAAAAACCAGTAAGGAAAGTAGTAAAGTCGGACGGGGCCGACTATATGATACCCTTCACCACTATGGGTATATTAAAGAGGACTATAAGCATGAAATTGGATGAAATAAAATATGTGATATTTATCTAAATGTGCATCTACCTAGATCTATCCATAAAGTATGTAAATCGACTTCAAACAAATATAAATAGGTTATCCGTTGGGCTATGTCTGTAATTCTAGAAAACGCAACTATATAATTTTATACTCAATTTTGTACGATGTGCAAACTTTGATGTCCATCTGACTAATATGAGGAGTTTGATGCACAATTTAGTTGAAATCGGGAAGGTCCATCCAATGTTGATATGGAAGGTCCATCCAAATATTGAGCGATTTCAAACAAACTTGTCACATGTTAGGTTATACTAATTTCAGAACGTTTTGTTCCTATTGGTTCATTGGTGCGTCAATTACTTAAAATCAATCTATAATAAAAGGGTGCTATATCTATCTAAATCTGGGCCGATTTTCACGAAACTTGGCAGACATAATTCTAGACCTAAATGATTAGGCTGTACCAAATTTCGTGCAAATCGAAAGATATATAGGGACTTTAGAGCACCATTTACATGAAATCGGACGAAAGTATATATGGGAGTTATATCTAAATCATGACCGATTTTCATGAAGCTTGGCAGACATCATTCTAGGCTAAATTAAGTACATTATGCCAAATTTCGTGCAAATCGAAGGCTATATAGGGACTTTGGTGCACCATTTACATGAAATCGGACGAAACTATATATGGGAGCTATATCTAAATCTAAACCGATTTTCTCGAAAGTTATTAGACATCATTCTAGGCTCAATTCAGTACGTTATGCCAAATTTCGTGCAAATCAAAAGATATATAGGGACTTCGGGGCACCATTTACATGAAATCGGACGAAACTATATATGAGAGCTATATCTAAATCTGGACCGATTTTCTCGAAACTTGGCAGACATCGCTCTAGGCTTAATTCAGTACGTTATGCACAAATTTCGTGCAAATCAAAAGATATATAGGAACTTTGGGGCACCATTTACATGAAATCGGACGAAACTATATATGGGAGCTATATCTAAATCTGGACCGATTTTTACGAAACTTGGCAGACATCATTCTAGACCTAAATGAGTAGGCTGTACAAAATTTCGTGCAAATCGAAAGATATATAGGGACCGTATACATTAAATCGGTTAAATATATATATGGGAGCTATATCTAAATCTGAACCGATTTTTCCCAATTTCCTATGGGAATTTGGAAATGCCAAATTTCGTCCAATTCGGATCATAAATGCGACCTGTACTTTGTTTACAATTTAACATGGACAGACAGACAGACGGACGGACGTACATGCATAAATCGACTTAGAAAGTGGTTCTATGCATATTCTCAAAAGGAAACATGGGTCTATCTCGATTAATATTGCCTGTTACAAACATATGTGGTGTGGTGAAGGATATAAAAAAATTGACTTCAAAATTGAAAGGGGGGGGGGGGGGTTCCTTAAAAAAAAAATTACTACACCGCATTCGAGATTGGAACGCTGTGCACAAAATTCGTCGGAATCTGGAAATAATATATGGGAGAACCATCGAAATCTTCCATGATTTTACCCAATTTCAATAGGGTTAGCCCTTGGACAATTAAATTAGCAGTGCCTAATTTCATCTTATTCTGATTATAAATGCGAACTATACTTCCTTTGCAATAATACATGGACATAAGTATAAAGTGGGCAGAAGACTGGAGCTGGACATAATTTCCAGAAAATTCGTCAAATGGGTACGAGGTAAATCTTATTATTTACACACAATTTGAAATATAATTTGCTCTTTGCTCCAAAAAATGTTATAAAGCTGTATTTGCATTGCAAATAATGTACTAATCAATACAAATTTTGAGTAATCAACAGCAAAGTAAATTAATATTTGCAAGAAGTTATTGACAAGAATTCATCAATAGAGTAATATAATTTTTTTATTAATCGATAGAAATAATACTCCGCACACATATAAATTGCTGAGCCGTTTTCAAAGCAACATCAGTTAATGAGAGCCTGACATTTGCTGAAGTAATAACAAAATGAAATTTCAAATTGCAATTATTTTTGGCGTAATATTGTCAACTGCCTTCGTAAATGCTGATCTATTTGAAGACACCCACAAACTCATTGATTTAGTTATAGATGATGAGGCTGTGAGTTGCAATTAAATATAAGACCATTTTTATTTAAGTAATATATAATGGTATTCTTAGGCCCACATTGATTCAGAATGCTTTAACCAAATTAAAGATGAACTAATTAAGGAATTGGAAGTTGCCTCGGCAAAATATGTTGAGAGAGTAGAAAATGGTATGCCCGTTTTTAAAAAAGGTGTTCACTTAAATATGGAAAGCTTCATTGAGGATACACTGTTGCCAAAGGCTTTGGTAAGTGCGATGTAAAACATTGTTATAACATTTTTATTGAGTTTGATTTTATGTGTTTTCATAGGTCTCTGCTAGTGATGATTGTTTGCATAGTGTTAAGGATGAACTTAGAGCTTTCTTCAAGGCTAGATTTGGTCCTGCCTTTAAAACAATTGATCCTGACTTTTAATAATATTAAATATATATTTTACAACATAACTGTGTTATAACATGAATTTTAATTGATACGCCTAATAAAATCAAAAGAATAATATGTCGATATTGTAAAAAAGTTTAGTTTGTATGAGATTAGATCGAAAAAACCCTTTTAAATGTCGCATGTTGTTAAATAACTTTTAACAACTGTTTGCCAATTCTTTAACTTTTATCATTGCTCAGGAGAAGTTAGTCTCAGTTCGTTACGACCCATATCTGACGGGTTTATGGTTATAATGTGGAAAGGAAAAGTCAATCATCCTATTAAACAGGAATTCTAAGAAAACAGGTAAAGCCAAATTCCGATCAATAACTTTCTTAATTAAATATATCGGGTTTATAAGGTGTAGACATCTGTAACCTATAGTTCTATATGTAGAATATCATTTCTAATAATATGTATAGGATCAGATCAGATATTAATAATAATATCACATAGTGATCTAAGCGGATTACTTAGCTAAAAATTAGATCTTATTTAATTAAGACTTAGTGGTATATAATTACGGAAACTTAAAAGCATTGCTCACAGATTAGATATTTCGAATCAACAAATTGTTGTGAATATAGGATCACTCTTTGGTAAAATCCCTAAATAACTTTACCGCTTAGTGTAACTTTTTAATATAATAAATTATAATTTAATGTCTGAAGTTTATTTCAGCAAATTCTGACAGCGACTGCGTCTCAAATGTTTCATCCGGTTAATCAAATTTTGACATACTCTTACTTCGGACGGTATCTCACGGATATGTGGGGATTTAAAAGGTCCCCCATGTTCGCTTCAACATTTTTATAATTAATTATAAATGGCTTTTTAGTTTCTACAATGTCGTTAGACGGTGTTTTAGGCAATAAGTTGAGCTCAACATGTTTTGTTGAGAATTAAATTCTAATGAAGATGTAAACATGTTCTCGTTAACCTGGACACTTGTTTGTAAATAAGGTCCTGTTACCAGTCCGACAACGTGATCGGCGTGGCAGCGGAGGCTTGACGCCGGGAATGCAACTCGGGGCATCCTGGAATTTGCGGCCGAGGGTATAAAAGGAAGAGGCAAGCCGAAATCAGGATGAGTGAGTGAAGTACAGTCAACTTGCTTACTTCGCGACTAAGAACGTTACCAGTAATGCCGGAAAGTTATTCGCGAAGAAGGAAAAGTGAGTGTACCAGTAGTATTTTCTCTGACGAACTCTAACCCCCAGCAACCGGAGGAAACTTGACTTCCCCCCTTCTTAACGCGGCTGTACCACGGTCAATCTACTGCGGAATATGTGGATCCTGAATCTTCTTTCGCCAACCATCACCAGTATGTTTGTCTGGTATCCCGGACGAAGTGTGGCTTGTGGCTCCTCCGTAATTGGTGAAACGTCACCCTCATAGGACTCCAGCGAGGAGGTGTCAAACGAGATTAAGAGGATGATGATAGGGGATTTCTTTCCCCTTTGCCCTAGGGTCAAGGCCAACCAGGGTTTGTCAATGGCTTAGGGTACCTATGAGAACGATCCGTTGTCTAATAAGGCCAGGGGCTCCTATCCGGGCGGATAAAACTCCCAATTCCCAATTCCAAGGACTGCTGCATCTGTTCAGCATGGCTCAGTGAACCCACATTTTCCGGCGAAATGTTAGAGGTAGGACAGCTTGGAGTACCATGTGGATGTATCGCAGAGGTA